TCTACATTAATTATACATAGAAAAGGGCTATTCCAGGTGTCCATCTTGAAAATATTTTCTTCTGCTCTCGTAAACAATGTCGATATTGCTGCAATTTCTTCCAATTTGTTTTTAAAACCGTTCATTGAGGTATGAGAGCAGTTTTTTGATCAGGCTTCACTTAAAGCTATCGTCGGCTTATTTGACCATACCCTAGTAACACCATTTCATCCGCGTAAACTATGTTTACAACGTTTGTTTCTCATTCGTATTTTATAATTATAATTTGACGAGGAAAATTTGGCTTTCTCTTGCACGCACTTTTCATGCATGTAGTAATCAAAAAAAGTAATTTTTGGTAAATACGTGGTGCACAAACAAGTCTTGTTGTGTCGCTTTGGGTTCTCGTTCGTAATATGATTGTTTCATCTTTTTACGACTTCAAATGAAATCAAATTTTTGCGGAAATGATGGTTTAAAATCGTTAACGTTATTTGGAAGAAAAAGGTTTAAAATTTAGACGCTGGAAATCTCTCGAAATCTTTGCTCGGCTTAACGTCAGTTAAACATCACAGAAACCGCTAGAAGAAAAGTTGTGTTTCTTGGAATTGAAATATAATTTTAAATAACAAATGGAAGAATCTCGTTTACTTAATGCAAAGTCGTGCTGTTTTTTACTTTGAAATCTCACCACGTACTGGCGGTGAGAAACGATTCAAGGTTTAATATTACAGGTATTAACTAATAATTATACGAAACGGTTTAAAGAAAGAAAGAAATTTAACTTGAAAAAAATCGCTACAAAATCGGTAACCTACTTCCCTTAGATTTCTTACAGTGTGATTCGGATTCGGTTAATAGTCATTTATTGTGTGTTGGGTATATGTATGCTCTTCGGTTGTTGTAATAATCACGGTGAGTTGTCTCTGAGGAATCACGATATTTGCTAAGGTAAAATACACCTACAAGGCAATTCTAGGCACTTACCACGTTTCGTGTGTGTATATAAGGTCCAGTTTCCTTATCCACCCGTTTTAAACAGTCAAACTGTAAGCCGTTATATTTTAGTGGATTTTTCGCAGCGTGACTATTAAACGAGACAAGACAACACAAAACATCAAATCCTACCGCGTATCGAGCATGGGGCTAAGGCTGGGGCATTTTCTGCTGTTACTGTATTGGTTCGTACAGACTTCGCCACAGGGAAATAAGAATCAACGGTAAACAATGGGCTCAGATTTGCATATATACTCACAGAAGAAATAAACCTAATAAAATCGCGGCTTTGTCTATCTAGAGCACTTTATGAAGGTCCTTAATGTCTGAAAATCAAACTTTAAACAGTACATTGAATATTCAGAATTTTTCAGTCTTCCTTATCAGATTGAGCCGTAAAAAAAATATAAATGTATATCTAGTCCCGAGAATTTTCTGGAACCACGAAGGGCAGCAAAAATTACTGAGAATTCTCAAGCAATATTGAGAATTCTTGAGACTGTTTTTCCATTCCCGAGAATTCCCGAAAATTCTGGAAATTCTTTATTTCGATATTCGTGAGAGTAATAGAGTAGAAAATGGATCTATATATGGCTTATTCCTGTAGCATTTAAAAAGTGATATGAAATAAGTTGATTGTGAACATATTTCCGGTGAAGTTGAGTCGTTGTAATACCGCATTTATCTGCATGGCTACTATTATTCCGATTAGCCTCCAGCAAATTCGATAAAAATACAATTATTTCTTTTCGCACAGACCACGATTTCTCCAAGTAGCGAACCCTCATAAAATAAGATATTTATTGAAGGGCCAGCAATTAAAAAACATGAGCAAGGCAGTTAATTATATTTCTATGAATGTCTAACTTTTATACAAAAATACTCTGACAGACGGTTTCCTGACTCGAGTAAGTAAATTTAATAATGATTTTCTTTCTACCAAAAATTAAAACACATATTTGTTGGCCGATAATTATGGAAATGTTCCCCAAGTCTAATTTCAAATAAGTACGAAATAGTTAATTTAATCCAGTTGAAATAATTTGTTCGGAAGGCTGCCTTTTCACAGCGATTTCTATCGCAGTTTCATATCTTTTAATGGTCAAACCATATAGACCATGGGAAGTAAATGAAACCAATCAAATGCCAGTAGGTTGCATCGCATGTGAGCTAATGATTTTGTTGACTTGATACGTGTGGAATTGACTTCCTCTCCATAAAGACTTCCTTTTTAGAAAGGAATATAAATAGAACGTTTTCGTTGACTTCTCGATCGATATCTTATAAAAAAATTTCTGTGGAATTAATAGTAAAGTTGACGATGGAGTAAACTTCAAGACAAAGGAACAAGAAAGAAAAGAAAATATATAAAAATCGTATTTCAAAGGGATTTTCAAAATATGAACTTACGAAACAAAACTAATCACAAAAACTTTCCCACAAGCTAAGAAAATCACCTACTGTGTTTAGCAAGTTGTTTATATCTTTATCACTTCCCCTGCCCTGACAACCGTTAATTCCGTTGTTGTGAAATAAACAGCAGTGACAAACGGTAAAATTCGACAGGCCGTCTAAATAAACCTTAATAAATTTCAGAACATGGGATTGCCATAAACAAATGTCCAAATCGCAAATGTTATAATTCTAAAATTATCAATATCCCGCCTTATTTCAAGTTTGATGGGACAAAAATACACCTGTTTCGGCAGTTAATTCAAATCTAACTATACATACCAGTTAAAATATTATCTTCTTAACTTAAACGTTAATCCTTGAAGGGGGCGAAAGAGTTTATAGGATTTAGTGGCTTACGGTTCCAAAATCCCTTATCACCATCCAGCTCGCTCCTGAGTGACATTATGTTAATACTAAAACTAAACTCGAACTCATGTAATAAGAAAATGTTAATTGCATGCCAAATAAGCTATGTATGTGCCATTTCGACTTGAAATTAACCTGTACAAGTCCTAAGTGATTTAATAGTGGAATCCATCAAGTTAAATGAAAGTACGTTCTCCGTAAATCTCTTAAAAAAGCACTCCATGCCGAGTTTAAAAGGTGGTGCCTGAGATCAATATGAACTGATGTGAAACTGAGCAAAACACGTTTGGCTCGCGCACGATCCATGCGCTTTCTCGACTGAAGAATCTAAACCACAAAAAGAAATTATGAATACTCGTACATGCATCATGCTTACCTTACCGGTCAGGTGCTCGCGTCGAATGAAACTCCTACTAACTCTCTCGGGGATTTTCTTGTATAGTACGTGCTTCGACTCTGCAGCCTATCGGGGTGTTAATTAACTAACTGAGAGGTCCTTCCTTAATTGCAGCGAGTTATGGCATGGCTATAAACACAATAGAACAAGCCACCTTAATCAAACAATACGGCATCTTGGCGGGTTAAAACGTTTTGGCCTTGACACAAATTTGACACTTTCTTTTTTGACGCAGACCGCTCTAAACATAATTGGCTCATTTTCTTATTTTTTACGTTAAATTATGAAATTAATTTTCATCAGGTAAAGCAAGTTGATTACAAAGAAACTTAACATTACAGAATTGAATGCAAAACATTTTTTAGAATGTGTCTTGTATCTTACTGTCCGGTTTACTGAAAATAACATTTGAATTTGATCTCTGACTGCATGCGAAGTTTGATCAAAGCTGGAGTCGTCTTTTCTTTTTTTTATTTTAATTTCGAAAAAAACAAATATATCCGATTTACTTCAACTAATCAACCTGTATATAATTATATATGAGATCAAGTTCGGACTCATTTTAGATATAGAACTAAATATATATCATATAATATATTCACAAGCTGAAATGAAAATCATTTTTGATATATTTTTGATTCATTTTTGGTATAGAACTAAATATATATCATATATATTCACAAGCTGAAATGAAAATCTATCTCTCCCGGTCGGTTTCTTTATTAATATTGTTTTCCTTCTCATTTAATACATCTAAACTCTAATGAAAAAGAAAACTGTCACTCTTCAAAAAGTATATATAATAGAGTTTTATTTGAATTCGTAGTTCTTGGCCTTGACATATAATATTCAGGAGATGGGTTGCCAATATTGTAATAATGCCCCACACACGGTTTTGAAAGTTCGATATGATATGACAGATGGTTACGCGGCAAAATTAGTAGACACTCCGGCTGCTAAATTATATAGTGTAGTAGTACTGGCTAGTAAATGTAGTGTCTATAAGGATTTGCCAAAATTAGAGCCCCATAAGATGTTTTTTTAATATCTAAAAGGGACTATTAGTTTCAGGATATTTTACAATTTACTAACACATGTATTAATTAAAGCAACTTATGATAAACAGTTAACTTTCGATGCATCCTGTTAGGATAAAAAAAAACTGAAAATATATTAGTTGCATCGGCGAAATTTAATGCGGCAAAAACCTACCTAGAAACCTGGTAACAATGTCCTGAGTTTAGATAAATATTCAACAAGATTTTCTAATTAATAAAAAATATTGGAAATGAATTAGATATCACGGTTTTGTGTGTACCAGGCCTTCCAAAATGCTGTTGTAATTTCATCTTTTGGCCATAGTCTCGAATATAAAACCGTTTCTCGTTTCTCATCTCTTGCCCTTTCAAAGTAGATTTAGCCAGTGTTTCAATTTTGGCGCGGAGCATGATTCATTTCGTCAGAGTCGGAATCAAAACGTTCCGTTTCTTCACAAATCCTGCAACTCTTGAATCCGTAAACTACAACTGAATGCGAACGAACTTCTGTCAAGTCATAGCTGGCTAATGCCGCATACGAATCCGAAACCAGATACGAATCGTACCGGTTAATGTTACCGGTCGCGTATAATATAAGTCAAAATTGAGAATCTGGGCCAAACTTCAAAACTTTTTAATATATGAAAGACCACTGCAGTTATATGTACGAAACTCACGCGGCAGTTGCGAAAAGAAAGCCTAAAGAAAAAAATCCAGGTTTGAACTAGTCTCCTACGCAGCCGTTACAAATAACGGCTGCGTAGGAGACTAGGTTTGAACGGGATTCAGTCAAACCCATGACCTCTGCGATACCGGAGCAGTGCTCTACCAACTGAGCTATCAAGCCAACTGGGAGCTGGTCATATTTTGTGAGTTAAAAACCCTTAGAGGATGATTATATGAGAATGAACTGTATAGGAAATATCATGATTTTAATTGCGAGTGAAAGATTTTAAAATAGGCGAAAGACCATCGCAGTGATATAGGAGCTGACTACTTTAATCTCTATAATTCTAAGATTGTTACTTTTTGTAACTGATACTACCTGCCTACTATTCTTGAGTAAGAAATTGCGGAGAACATCGATCAAACACCAAGCTATTCGTTCAAAATCTCGGGTATCAATATTTTGGTGTGCGGACGTACTACGTCATCATGACCCGGCATCGTTGATTAGGATAGGAAAGAATACTTTCAAAAGGCACCTTTTCATCGTAGCCTGAACAACGCGGAACATCGTATATAGCTAGCCATGTAATGTATAAACGCCTTACGATTCCTGATACCCTAAAACGCAATGAATTAATCCTGAAACAATTTTCAGGGGCACCTAGAACGAATCCAGCCTTAGCCCCATGCTCGATACGCGGTAGGATTTGATGTTTTGTGTTGTCTTGTCCAGTTTACAGAATAGTCACGCTGCGAAAAATCTACGAAAATATAACGGCTTACAGTTTGACTGTTTAAAACGGGTGGATAAGGAAACTGGATCTATATACACACACGAAACGTGGTAAGTGCCTAGAATTGCCTTGTAGGTGTATTTTACCTTAGCAAATATCGTGATTCCTCAGTGACAACTCGCTATTATTACAACAACCGAAGAGCATACATATATATACCCAACACACAATAAATGACTATTAACCGAATCCGAATCACTCTAAGACATCTAAGGGAAGTAGGTTACCGATTTTGTAGCGATTTTTTTCAAGTTCAATTTCTTTCTTTCTTTCTTTAAACCGTTTCGGTGTGGAATAGCTGTTCGGAAGGCCTATAATCGCCTGACAGATATTCGGATTAAAGTGGGATGAAAAACTGGAGTTTTCTTTTAGGAAATGTCATCTCAAACTTTCTTGATCATGATGGGAAGATTAATACCTTTTGTTTTCGGAGAGATAAAAATGTCGTTTTGGGCACAAAAAATGGTCAGCTAGGATTTTCGAAAAGGCAAAAGCAGCTCACAAATTCGGGTAATAACATTTAAATCCCTAAAATTTTCTGAAGTTTGAAAGTTCAGCTAACTTATCCGAACAGATACACTTCTCTTATCGTTTACAAATAAGCTATTAAACTGTACAAAAAGGACAGTTATAACGTAAAAACGATGTAATTCTGACATCGACAGGAAAATTTTGTCATTGGGTGCCCCTGAATTTTGAATCGTGGAACGTTTGCCGCTTGTTGTTCAAACAAACTGCTATTCCATCTTGACACCAGTTAATCGAATTTCGTCTCAACAAATCGGGGCATGCCTCAGTTTAACTTCTATCTCTTGGACATTACCTGTAGGCTAAGAGCACGCAGCAGTCATGGAAGATTTCGGGCACACCTGCCTGTTCAGGACCCGGGGGGGGGGGGGGGGTACTCAAAAAAGTTTTATACGGGGAGGCTCCGCCCAGAGGTCCAACCCCTTACCCTTTCATATACCATTTTTCACAGAAAAGGTACCCCTTTCATATACCTTCAATAGAAATTATGAAAATGGTACCCCTTTCACATACCTACAGTAGAAGCACTGCATCCCTTTTCTATACCCTTGTAATGAACTTAATGAACAATATATATCACCAGAAATCATCAAGCATTACCAGTGGAGATGTTAACCAAACAATAATATCATTTACTCGTGAAATCCCTACCCTTTCATATACTTCAACTCGTGAAATCCCTACCCTTTCACATACCTCGAGCCTAAAAAAGGACCCCTTTCGGGCGGAGCCTCCCCGTATAGTCCATTATAGGGAGTACCCCCCCCCCCCCCCCCGGGTTCAGGAGTGCATATACTGAGTAAAAAACACATCGATTAAGACGCGAGAGCGCCACGGGGGTAACATGACACAGGTGTTTCGTCCATAATAAAATGCAAAGCATTCTGTATTTTGTCCCGGTGAAGAGTTAGTCATAATGCTTCGAACATGGCTCGCCGAACAAACCCAGACAAAGCTATGAAAATTAAGTTCAACTTACCTAATGTTTAGGAAACATAAACATCACCAATACAATTATTTCATGATCTGTGTCCGCGCTGCAACCTATCGATAGTTTCCCTGCGATCACTAGCTCCGAACCTTCGTTGTTTAGTTAAGTTCGTTTGTGCCTGCTATGAAATTCAACCGCGTTTGTGGTTTTCCAAATAAAGAACAATTATAATGCGATGATGGCATGGTAACTGAAATTGAATTTTGCTGCTATTTATCGGTAATGTATACGTAGGTATACTAGGTAAATATTGAATTCGACTTTGAATTAGGCTTCACACGGTGATAGGAGAACATATTCAATTTACGGATATTAAAGTGCTAAATTTTCGCAGATTATAGCAAATATTTGCAGTCTTCGTATACTTGTGCTTAGAATAAAAAATCTAACCCCTCGAATATTGCTTTTGTACCCAGTACAAAAGCAATATCCGAGGGGTTGTATAACTGTAAATTACGGTATTCTCTAGACACACGTACAGATATTTTGGTATTCCAATTTTGGTGAAAGAAAAAAAAAGACATTTCAGGCCTAGGCGTAAGAGACGAAAATATTAATTTGCTGATGGCTGATAATATTGGAGTAAACAAATCCTAAATTGCATAAATGAAGATAAATATGATCATGTGGTGTGTTAAAAACACACGAATAATCGTGGCTAGTGTATTGCCAGAGGAAAAGGTATGAATATAGTAAATAATTAATCGAAGATGTTTAAAAAAACACGCAGCGGTGCGATCTGTGAGCGACACAACTTGAGCGAAAACTTGTTCGACACGTAGCTAATATCATGAAATCAATGAAGAACCACAACATTGTTATCAATGCAAATGGTGCGTCAGTTTTAAGACCTCTGCATTAGGGAATACTTACTATAACCAATTTGATTCAACAACGAATGAAATATCTTTGCAGTGTGCATCCGATGTCGACTCAGTGGTATTAATTAATGTGCCTAGGATATTGGTAAACGTCAAGTAAAGTTGACAAAGCGCTACTTCAAATGTTTCGCCTGTCATCTCAGTTCAAACATATGACTGGTCGTTATTGAAAATATGATTATAACTTTGTTATGACTGTTCAAAAGACGCCGATTCTAGAATTTATAAATTAAAGCTTGTGCAAAAGCAGATCTAGCGGGAAAGATGCCTGACTTACGGCTGCTTTTTACATGTTTTCTCTAGCGAATGCTGGACCGCCGAGGCATCTCAAAGACCAGAGTGCTTATATAAGACATTAGAAAACGACAAGATCGCGTATTAAATATTATTAGGCGTAAGGCAGTATGTGTACTTGACCTGCTTGCACTGACTTTCATGAGAATTAGAAATGATGTGCGTGTATATACGACAAACAAACGCTAAAATCAAATGACTCCAGCGGTCGCTAGCGATCAAAATTCACTGACTTGGGGTTTGGTCAAAAACACAGGCACGCAACGCGTACGTGAAGCAAAATTACAAATTAGTCACAGTCACGCGTGTGTTACGAGCCATCATGACCGCTTCATGTCTTGCATTGAATTGTCTGACAAAATTTCGAGCATTTCCCAAAGCTTAGTGTCACTGAAATTTTGAACTAGAAGGTCGATCGAAGATTCGTGACTTCTCAACGAAATTTCTACAAAAACAACTTTAGGTCTCCCGCTACGATGGCAGGTCAATTAAAATTGTCTTATTAAAGTTTAAGCCGACTTTATTTTCTTGAACAGTGAGGTGAACCATTTTTCGTCTGTTTTACTAAAAAAAAATTAAAGGCTAAAACTTTTTAAAATTGTGTAAAATTAATCTGCATTTAAATTGCATGTTTGTAAATTTAAATAAACAGAAAGTTACCTTGTGATTATAAATTAATTATATCCATGGTCACATAGCAAAACGTCTGGACTCTTCGAGCCGATGTATACAGCTGTTTCTCCGACCTGACCCGGATTGATACTTCATGTAAGCACGCACCAATATGTTGTCGAAATGAGAGGCGGTTTCGCCTTAGCGCCGACCGAAATGTAGTCTGGGAATTTAATAAATTCCGTACATTGAAGGTCTCCTGTTCACTTTACAGTTTAGGAAATCGTTAAAGGGGCTATGTCACGATATTTTAAGTCAGTTTTGCGAAGTGCAAAATCACCTTCAAACTGAAGAAAGCCTCAAAATAATAGTTTACTAAGGTAGAAAAACACCAAAGAGGTGACAATAAACTAAACAGGAGCAAGGATGGTTGAGGATGGAGAAGATTAAGACGGATTGCGAACGGCGAACTTGAAAAAATTGGCCAATTTTTTCAAGATGCACCAACCGTGACGTAGCTCCTTTAAGGGCAAATATGAAATCCCAACTATCAGTTTTAAAACTTCATAAGTAGAAAACTATATAAACAAAAGTTAAAATTTGGAATCTCTTAAGTTTCTGATGTTCTTCATGCTTGCAAACCGATTTTTTGTTTGTTTGTTTGTTTGTATTATGGTTTGTTGAAGCAGGTTAGTAGTGGCAGTAATCTTTGCACACTTCCCTACTGCCCAGTTAGGTGATAGTGGCTTGTGTGTGGAGCAGTTTTCAATTGAGTGTCGCAATTAATGGAGGGATTGCTTTGGTTTTGTTTTACTACGCTCAGTAATTGGCTTAAAAAATTCGCGCCACCTTTGCAACCAATCAGATCCCTAAAACCAATCGCGACTTGGTCGCACGCGTTTTCCCGCGCTTGGAACCGTTAACGTGTATTTGCTTCGAGTTTTCATTGGTTCATTGTGTTGTTTACGTTTTTGTTGTGATTGCTCGTGATTGCTTTGGTTTTGGTTTTACGACACTCAATTGAAAACTGCTCTATATAGAAACACAGCACGCGAATTTATTAGTCACACAAACGGTG